TACACCTCCGTGAAAGTCTTAATAACAAGCAAGTAAAGGGCTCCAGTTTTGCTAAGCCCCTGCAAATTCTTCCACCTCACAGCAAAGCAAAGCCAGCCTCTCTGGGGGGGGAGGGGAGGATGTTTTTAAAATTTATTGCACCCCTGCGGCATGCCTGAAGTGCCCACGGAGCAGAAGGCACATGATCCTGGGCTTCTTTCCCCATTACCGGAGTTAGGATTTTAGGGATGTTTCCCCTTTTCGGTGGCCTGGAACAGGGGTGGAGGTGACAGAGACGCACATGCCTGGAAAGCACTTGCAGGTGGCATTTAGTTCAACCTCCTGCCCCCTTACCGGCTGACACATCCTCTCGTTCAGCCTGACAGATGTCTCCATCTGGGAAGCCTCATTCGGACACTAGGGAGAGTCACATCTATTTGCAGTGCATGTGTCTTTCGGGTGGCACTGATCAGAATTCCCAGTGTGTCAGAATCGGAGGTGGGGCCGGGAGAAGGCTAATCTGTTGCTGGGTTTGGACCACGTGCACCCGTTCAATTAACGCATCTGACGTTCATTGAGCATCTTTGGCCTGGTTTTCTAAGACAGCACAGCTGCCAAGTGAACACGGCAGAATGTCACAGTGTCAGAAATGACCCCTACACTGACCCCTGTACCCCATTCAACAAATTTCATCTTTTAAAAGGAGAACGGTTTGACCCAAACAGTAACACTCCCTTCCAGAGAAAAGTGCTCATTCATCCCCAGGGCAAGCAGTCTGGGTGACCCTCAGTACATTGGCTCTTAACCACCACGGCTGCCAGAAAAATCTCCCCCCCCCCCCCCCCCCCCCTCCCTCACCCAGCCCCCTGGGACCTAGTCAGCACAAATGTGCTAACTGATCTCCTGGCACTGAGGGGAGTCTGGAATTAAATGGTTCAAATGCAGTTTCTTTCTTTTCTTTTCTTTCTTTCTTTTTTTTTTTTTTTTACAGTTTGGCCATCTTTCCCTTTATGCAGTAAAATCTCCAATAGTTTAGAATTTATGATCCTTTGGACAGGGACTGGGCTGAAGTCTGCTTCTGGACTACTCTGCATAGAGAGGATTTTTCAAGGAAAATGAATAGCTTGCTAAAAGAATTGTTAAGGGAATGTGCATTCTATTTAAGGAAACCTCTTTTCTAGCCCTGTACTAACACTCATGTATTTACACATGATTGATATGCTAATTTCAAATGATTTTTACATGTTCATTAAGTCCTTAGCTACAAGTATTCATCTTCCTGGTTTGAACTGGCCTCAAACACTAGGTTCTCCCAGCACCGAAACTTCTTAGGTGACAACTTTTCTAGACTAAGAAATTAACAAAGAGAATTAAGTTAATGCCAGGCAAAATGACCATACCCTTCTTTGATGAGGATAAAAGGAGGGGTCTCTCTACACTTCAGGTGCCTTATTAATTCATGTTTGCTCCCTCCCATGTTGATATAGGATGAGGTTTGACTATGGCAACCCTATATCCTGGTTTGCCTAGGATAATTCCTGTTAGATCTTCCATTCTGGAATAATTACTAACAACAATATCCTCTTTCATTCTTAAAGCCCTCTTGATATGAACTTTAAATTATGTAGTTGCTATAGATTTGGTGAAACCTACGTAATTAAAATTATGATGTTTTTCAAGGAGTTTGAGCTTTCTTTAGACTGGTAGTGCCTAGCCTTCTCTCTACAAACTAAAAGAATGCTCCCTAAAAATGTTATACCAATCAATTCTGAATCCAGATAGTCAGATCAGAAAGCAGAAAACCTTCCCTCAGAGACAGAAATTATGGGACCACTCCCTACCCTACCTTGTGTGTGTTAATTTCATGTCAAGGTAGTTGCTTGTCAGGAGTTGAAATCCCACGATTTTTATTGACAGTGCTATTTCAAGGGAGAAATGGGTCAGCACAGAGAACACAATACTAAAGAATTGTTGACTTCCTTTTGGCCATTCTAAGCTTTGTTATAGAGCTAATATGTAATAAACAAACACAGTGCACTACACACGGCAGGGTGTGCTCTACCTGACTCAATCGTCCCAGCCCACTGTCTGAGGTTGCTACTCTTATTATTTCTATTTGCAAGCTGATGAACAGCCTCAGAGAAGTAAAGCCACCTGTTCAGGATCCACTGCTAGTCACGACAGAACCAGGACAGGCATCCAGGTTGCCTTATGCTCAAGTCTGAGCTCTTAACCACTATAATATACTGCCTCCCACTCTGCTATACTGCTCTGACATTTGAGTCAGACATCTGCTTGCAATTTGATACATTATAAAGCTATTGCCTCATCAAGTATGCCTCACGGTGGGGGGGGGGGACAGGAACTGAAGGGGGTTGCTCGGATTGCTGTATGATGTATGCCTACTGCTGTGAAATCAACGAATTGAATGCATGCGTCTATCGTGGTACTAAATTATCTTCAGAGATAGACTTAAAATATCCTGAAGAAGTTCATTCAGGGGGGCAGCCCTCATCTATAAACAAATATTAAATGTGTAACCAACAGCAGTGACGATTGGTTCATCCACTCCCTCCCCCATCTCCCTGCAGACAGACACTTGTGCTGATCTGCTGACTGTGATCTGGGTTTGACTCATGGAACTAAACAACATTTCTGATGAGACCAAGTCCCCAGATCGCCTCTAGAGGAAGCCAATGGAACCCAGCTGATGTGCCAATGTCTCTGCCCTTTTCCTCCTAAGACCTTGATTTGGAAACGTGACACTTTCACCCTTAAGGAAGTATAGAACATTGAAAAGGGAGTAGAAATCGACTATCACTGGATGTGTCTGGCTTGGGTGAGAATGGGAATGATTCAGGTTTTATAGCCAGTCTGTTAAAAGACAACTCAAACCCAGCCTTTCCTGAAGACTTGAATATAAATGTTCTATTCTCACTCTCTACCCAAAACCAGGAGTAACAGCTATAAAACTGGAATCTATTCTACGGAGAAGCCACGCCTATTACAGAAGTATTAAATAGGATTCTCCTAGCATGACATAAATTGAGGTCTTATGGCTCAGACTTTCACCCCAGGCATGGTTTATAGTGTGGAAGGAGACACATGACATTAAAAGGCACCAAGAGTGAAATGATACCGGGGTGAGGGGGAGAGCTATTGTAAAAGTCTCAGGTGGATTACATTAGAATTAGCACAAAGCTGCTAGCAGAAAGCATGAAGGTTGAGAGACCTTGTGGACATTTCATATAATTGAGAGTATGACCAAGAAGGCAGTATGACAGTAACAGACAGACAAAGGGTGAAAGTACCAAGCAAGGTGGACATCGGGCATGCTTTTCTGAATCAAAACACCACCAGGAATCTGCCTCTCTCTCCCTGTACCCCTAAAATAGATGGAAGACTCTGGACCAAATGCCACACTTCCAGTTTCCAGTATTTCCTCTAGTTCTTTCTGCAAGGGCATTTTCTTTGGCCAGTGCAGCATCTGACTTGGCAACAGTAGGGTGCACTCCAAAGGTGGAACGGATAGCAGAAACCCAGGAAGAGAAAATCGCTGATGTCAAAACTCTTTACAAAGAACCTCCTTCCAGGCAGAGAAGCACCAGCTTTTAATGGCATTTGGTGTTATTGTTCCCCTTCTCCAGCCTGTGTCAGCGTGTGTCCCCTCCCTCCCGTCCACAAATACTGGCTGTTGCAGCTGCTGTTTGCAGCCTGCTACACCCTAGTGCCCCAGGATGTCACTTGTCCACCCATTCCCAACACGGGACGCCCATTTTTCTAAAGACCTGTATGATCCTCTAGCAGACTGTGAAGAGAAAAGTTCTACAGTCTGGGTTTCATTCTTCAGCCATGATTCCCCATCCGTCTTCCAGCCCACACCCACTGGAAAGTTCAGATTCAGTTGTGCCAGAACAGGCGTTCATTCTGTCCGAAGCACTTTCACAGACATGTTTTCAATCTGCTCCTGAATGCAGCCTGCCAGGATTAATAAAATCCTCCAAGTGGTCCCCCTGGTCTACTTCTTTCATTTCTCCCACCTAACCACTCATCCAACACCCTCAAAAGAGGAGTTTTCATCCTGCCTTGATTTTCCCTGACAGAGAGCACAGCCTTCTTTTCATTCTCAAACTCCTCTAAATTGAATGATTTACAAAAAGAATTGGATTTTCTCTCTTTTGGAATGCTTCCATTCCCCCCAGCCTTCTCTTCCTCCGCATCCTTTCTCACCCCTTTTCTGCCTTTCTTTCATTTCTTCCTTTATTCTCCCCTCTGTCAACAGCATATCTACCACCATCCAAGGATCTGTTCTCATCCCTGAGTTCAAAGCAATCAGTCTCTTTGGGGAAAAAAAAAAAATCAAATAAAACTCTTTCAAGATCATCTTCATCATCTTGGAAGGCTCCTCCCTGACTCCTGAGCTTAGAGTCCCGATTTTGGATGCTGGAGAGGAGAGGATTCAGCAGCAGCAGCAGTAGCAGCAGCCAGTAAGGTGTGGAGGAGGGTGCTGTTTTGGGTGTATTTGAGGGAACAGCATATGGGCTTTTGTCAAAAATGTTCGGAGCTTGCTAGTTTCTGAGCTGAGGCTAGAAACGAATTGCTATCTCTGAACACTGCTTGAGTTGGTTCAATCCTCATCTTCTGTCCTTGTACAGCATCCCCCAACAACCTCAAACCCACCATTCCTTTGACCCCTGCCCTCTGAGCTCTGTAATACCAAGAAAAGTTTCTCCGTCAAGTCGTACCCCACCTGCACCGCCCACCCTAAGAAAGCAAAACCTCTTGAATAGGAGCCACGGGTTCCGTTGAGCGTCGCTCTCCCCCCGAAATCCCTGTCCCTTCTCACCATCTTCCACCTCGCACTAGCAATTAGTTCCCATGTTCCAGCGGGAGATACGGAGCAGTGACGAGAAAAGACAAGCGCCCTGGCCCAGCTGCCTGCATCCACCCCTGGGGCGCTGGGACACAGACCAGAAAGGGGGGGTTTTCAGGGTCTCCCCTTTTAAGAGGAGGGTCATTACCTTGGCAGCGGCTTGCGGGCCGTTATGCTGGCGACAATGATGCTCTCGGGACGCGGGGTGGCCACCGCTTTGAAGGTTCCTCGCCAGAACTTCTCAAAAAGCTGCTTCTCGCCTTGCTGAACGCTCGCCATAGTCAGCCCAAAGGGGCCGGGGCGCCCGGGCGCTGTCCGAAGTGCTGAAACGTGGACTCCAAACCGGGGCACACCCGGCTCCGGGCTCCGTCCGTCTGAAACCCAGAGGGGTGGGGTGGGAGAGATCGGAGTTCAGGGCGGGGGATGGGACGTCTCAGCCCGGGCAGGCGGGCGGAGAAAGAAGGCTTGTGCGCCGGCTTTCTTCGCCTTCTGGGTCGGCTCTGGGCTGCGCTCCGGGCTGGGCGAGCCTCCGCGCTCCACGCAGCGAGGGGAGGAATGGCTTTCTCGGCGGCGCCGGGAGAGAAGAGGCGACAGGGTCGTCTGTGTGTGCGTGCGCGTGTGAGCTCCGGCGCGCCCGGGTTTTGTCTCTCGCACAATGTGACGTTGGAAAAGGAGGCTGGTCGCGAGAGCTGCACTTTCCTCCCCCCACCCCTCCGTCTCTCCTCCCCACCACCCCCCTCCTCTTCAGGCTCAGCCTCCTGCCGCCATCTGCATAACAAAAGCCCGCAGGTCTTGGGAGGAGAAAGGGCGGGGCGTGCGCCTGTCACCAGGCCCCCGCGGCGACAGAGTTGCAGGGCTGACCCCACTGAGGGGCAATCCTGGCACCCCGATCAGACCCAGGCGGGAGACCCTGCTGCCTGGCCTTCTCTCCTCTCCCATCGTCGCGGGCCTCCCACCCCCCCCTTTCTTGCGTGCCCTTGGGGCCCGGCCACCTCCCTTCCCAGCCGCTTCGCAAGTCTCGTGGCAGATCTTCTATTGAGGGAGGAAGTAAAAAACTTAACCTATCCGCCCAAGCCGACCGTCCCCGCCCCTCACTTCTGGGAGGGACTGCCTAGGCCGGCAGAGAGGGTCCCCTGCGTTCCTCCTTGCTCCTGGGGGCCGAGAGATCCCCACCACCCAGAAAGTGCCATTTGATGGACAATCCGTCACCAACTGGGCTTCTCGCCATCTGCCGGGCGGAGACCCCGCCCGCGAAGGGGTGCAGCGTCACATCTGTGCGTGCGGCGCGGCGGAGGATCTCTCTTTTGTGTCTCACAGCCCGCCTGCCCGACGTCCCCGCTGCCAAACCCGTCCAAAGGAAAGGGTGCCCCTCCCACCCCTCCCCACCCCACCCCTACCCACTCCTGGGGAATTAGTCTACAAACACTCTTCCTAACACAGCTTGTCTCGGGAAAAAGAGTACGTTTTTTGGAAAAGCAAGCGCTTAGGGGGAGGGTGGGGGGGAATCTGAGGATTACAAGGGGATGGTTACTTTCGGGTGTCGCCTCCCCTTCTTCTACCTCCTCGCAGTTCAATCGTAGTCCCAGCAGGTGGAGGTTTAGGATGCCCTGTGAACCCGGGACCCAGAGGATCTGGGCAGAATTTCTCTTGTTTCCCCCCAGGGTTTTCACTAAGGAAAAGAAAGCGATGCGGGACCCCTGAGCTCATCCCTCTGTCGGAGCCCTTTCATCTCCCCCCACCCCCAAACGTCCCGGGCTGCAGCTTCCGGGAAGGAGGCCTCGCTGAGTCTTGAAGGCTTCCCAGCACCGTGTCCGGCCTCCGCAGGAGTAAACCCGTGCGTGCTTCTTCCTGATGCTGATGGCAGTGGGGACCCGGTGACCGGGGAGGGGATGGGGCGTGGGGTGCGGGGTGGGGCCAGGGGAGTGGGGCACCAATGTGAACTTAAGAAATTATTTGAAAGCTAACAAGAGTTAAATTAGGAGGTGAGGGGAAGAGGAGGATACAGAGAACAAGATGGGACAATAGAAGAAAGGCCCCTGGAGTGAATGAATATCCGTCCGAAAAAGTGCACGGTTGGGATTGTGTGTGCTCCATGTTCCCGGGCCGGCTTAGCCGAACGCCTAGGAGCGCTGCTCGCTCTGCAGTGACCCCTTCTGGCCAACGGCTATAGATGCATTTGCTGGCTGCTTAAGTGGGTTGCGGCTGCCGGGAGGTGGGGCCAGGGCTGCGATGCTTGGAAGTGGAGTGCCGCGGAGACCAGGCGCGCCCCTTCTCTCCCTCTCCCCCTCGCGGTGCGCCAAATATCCCCTCTTCACCCGTGGCTGTCAGGCCTATTTCCCCGCTCTGAAGTTGATGCCATTCTAAATGCAATCCAGAGCTGACTCCTTCAGTGGCCTGGGATATTTAAAACTATCCTTAGTCATGACATTGGGGGCATGAACCGAGTCACTTGCAGGGGAGAGGTGGGAGGGATCCTACCCCCACAATATCAATCATCTCCCAGCTGTGTTCCTGTTCCGTAATTCCTAGAACGTTGATAAAGCGCCCATTCGCACATCATTGTCTTTTTTGAATCCCGAGGCAAGCATCCAGGTAACTTAGACTTTAGGTCTAGCTCCTCCAATATAACTTCAATTCCAGTTCCTCCATCACTGTGTGGAAATATAACCATCTGTGTCTCATTCCTCCAGGATATTGCTCTCTGTTTCCCCAGGGGCAAGGCAGCCCATCCCATAAACTAAGCGCTGTCAACATGCTAATTAGTGAATACAAATATGTGGCACAATTGCTGCTTATGATACTGATAGCAGACATCACTAATCCATCACAACACTATTTCTGGGACCGACCCTCAGAATCCTTCTCAACACAGTCTTCTAGATGGCCACTACTGCTTGGTTGGAGTGGGCATTTCCGATAAAATCAATTTGACATCCATATCTAGAGGGTGCTTCTCTACTGATTGGTATTATTCTTTCATTTGGAAAAGGGAAGAGCAGGGAGAAGTGATTCCAGGGTTTGCCAACCCAGGCATTCTAGATTGGAGCTAAAGAGATTCTTATGCATCCTTCCCCCTAGTGATCCAAAGAGGCAGCACCCCCAGCTCAGAGAAAGAGCTACCCCTCCTCCTGAGGCAGTTCAAATCCCATCTCACTAACATTACTGCACTACCTTGGGTAAATCCCTTCATCTTTCTGTGTCCAATATTTCTCTGAGTACAAGGGGGCTAATTATTATCCACCAGCATCAAGGGACATCAGGAAACTTAACAGTCTATAGCCATTTCTGAAAGTCCAGTGAACAGTGAAAGATTCGAACAATTACTGAGATGATGGGAAATATGATAATCAGACCAAGTCATCTATCTTTGTGCCTTTAAACAAGATCTTGCTAAACCATTCAAATTACAAGATTCTGGATTTCTTCATACAGACACATGGGGAGAAAAATACAATTGCACTACTCAAGGTTTACCAGTATTCACTTCTTGGAAGTTCTATCTTGTGTCTAATCTGAATCCCATCTCTGCTGTTTATTGTGCATTCCCTCTTCTAGAACATAGATATACACTACTTCAAATATCCCCAAACTAACATGTACAAACCAGCAACCATTATTCCCTGGTTGTATAGTTTCCAAGATTCTACAAGACAAATGTGTTCATTGCTGTCTCAGATAATAATAATAGCTACATTTATCAAGTCTATGTTACTATGTTCTATGTTCTAGTCACCATGTGTGCTAAGCCCTTGATAAACATTATCTCATTTAATCCTCCCAAGAACCCTATGAAAAAGAAACTATCATTGTCTGAATTTTGCAGATTTGGAAACTGAGTCTCAGAGTGGTAGAATTACTTGCCCAAAATTGCATAGCTAGCAAGTAGTGGAGTGAGAGTCTGGTTTCAAACCCAGATATGGCTGCCTCTAAAGTCTAGGCTACACTGACTACCAGCCATAGGATATAGGTTGTGTTCATATCTACAGCTGCCCATTAGTCTGTGTGTCTATTCATGCTACCAAGGATGTTCTTTGCAGAGCCTCCACCTCCCTCCTGGAGGAATGGCAAAAAGTAATTGCCTGACATTGCCCTGATATGGCATCCTGGTATTTTATATGTCTTAATGTTATTTTGTATTATTATATATGTATATTATGTACAGTAGTATTTAATAGTTGGCAGGACAGACATGAATCTCCAAGACTACCTGATTTTGTTGAAGGAAACCAAGCCGAAGAATCTCTGCTGGGGGAGGAAGGAGCTGTTCAACCTCAAGACCTGAATAAAGGGACCATTCCTTCCCAGAGCAATTGTATCAACCACCAAATTGGCCTCCCTGCTGCAAGAATTAGACTTCTGCTTACCCACCCTCCATACTTACTCTTTCTAGAGAATTTTTTTCTCTCAAATTGCAGGCCTATTCATAACTTTCTTCTGCTGAAAACCTTTTCCTGATTCCCCTAAATTAGTAGGATAAGTACCTAACTCTTTTGCATCACCCACAAGGCTCTTGTGATTTGGTGCTTTCTTTCTGTCTCTGTCCTTGAACTTCACACTGCAGTCATTGCAGATTGCTCATATACCTCCATATGCCCCATTCTATTCCATGACTCTCAGAATCATTGAAAACAATCTCCTTTGGCCTCTCTAGTCTCCTGAAAAATTCCTCAACACTTCATAATCATATCATCTCAGAAATCTTATCTGATCCCTTGTATACCCATAATAAAATCTTGCCCTTTCTTAGGCCTCCTCTGATCCATGGGTATATTTTCTAATTTGTTTAGAGTTACTTTTCATAATATTTATTGTGTGATTCTTGAAAGGACAGACTATGTCTATTTCTTATTTGGGCCATCCATGTCTAGTATAAGATTGGCACATAGTAAGAGTTCCATAAATGCTGGTGTTATGAGTAGATTGCAAATGCAGTATACAGCTATACTAATGTGCATATCACCCTAACCTGTAGGCAATAAGGCATGATTTTATATCTACATATTATACCTGACAACACAACATTCATTCACACTGTGCTTACTGGTATTGTATATATTCATTTAACTGTGAACTGATAGAGAAAAGGACTACATTTTATGTATACTCTATGTATGTTATATATAACATTATACTATGTATAATAGTAATAATAGGTAACTATAATAATATGAAATAATATATGTTTATATAATGCTTATATAGTACTCAGTGCCAGGCATTGTTCTAAGTACAAATAAATATTAACTCATTTGATGCTCACAGTAACTATAGGTTAGCTCCTGTAATTAACCACATTTTACGTCAAAGAAAACTGAAACTGAGTTGAAGTAACTTATCCAAGGATGCACAACTAGCAAAAGGTAGAGCAGACATATAAACTCAGTCAGTTTGACTTGCAGAGTCTGTGCTCTTAATCATTTTTATCTACTGCCTCTAAAATGACTTTTATATCCCCAAATGGCATTCATTTATGTGCAAGAATGCATTGTGCATGGCACTTGGACAGGGACAAAAATGGGTCCTGTTTTCATGGAGCTTACAGTTCAGTTGGGGTGTTGGTGGTTATGTTAAACATCATAAAAAAAAAAACAAACCCACACCTCAGAGGGGAAATGATGTGAAACTGGATAACTAGAAAATTTCCTAGTCTGAGTATAAAGAGGTAAAATCTCTTGATGCATTTGCATTTAAGCT